CCAGGCATGATAGCATACAACTGTAATCCTAGGACTTTGGAGACTAAAGCAAGAGACTCGCCATTAGTTCAAGGCTCACCGGGCCTATGCAATGAGTTCAAGTTAGCCTGAACTGCATGAGATTTATCTCAAAAAACAAAAGAAAAATTTTTTAAATTTAAAAAGACATTTAGCAATATTTTCTATGTGGTAAACTTGCATAGGATCTCCCAGAGACCCAAATATGGATGTCCTCATGTAGGGTATAAGGAAACTTGTAGGAAAAGCCAGACATCACAATCTACCAGGCACTGCAACACTCCCTAAATAGTGGGCAGAGAGCCGCTGCTTGCTCTGGTCCCATCCTAACAGCAACACATCCAAGAACAAGCTTCAAAAGTCTCACACAGACCCCAAGTCCTTTAAATATATCCCAGCACGAAGCTCAAAAATATCTAAAGGAGAGCAAGCCAGATAGCTTGGTAGACTAAAGCACCTGCCAAGGCACAGCGCAGGGGCCAGGGTTCTATCCCCAGCACCACATGCTGTGCAGGCCCCACCCACAGGTACCATGAGACAGTGATTGAGACTGGGCATTGTGGCGCGTGCTTATAATCCCAGCATTTGGGAGGCTAAAAACAGGAGGATCACTACAAGTTGGATCTGTGTAGTGAGACCCTGTACTAAATACATTTAAAAAAATTTTTTCAATAAAAATAAAAATATCTAGAGGAAAACACCAAACCTAGCTGTCGTAAAACTCCATGTCCAAATTCACACAAAACAGCAGGAAAATATGACCAGAGAACTACAAACACACACATGAATGCAGTGAGAGAAACAATAAGATGCTAACAAATGACCCAAATTGTAGCTCTATTAATGAAAAAGGCATTGTTCATAATGGAACAATACTGCACAGGATTAAGAGCAAGCTAGACACAGCAGAAGAGAAGCCTGGGAACCTTGGCACAACAAGAAAGGGAGAATGGTAGAAATTGCAATGGGAGAAGTATGGAACCAGTCTCAGGGGCAGTGGGGAAGTGGTAAAGCAAAACAATCCCACAAAACTTTCCAATCCAATGAAAATTACAAACCCTCAAATTCAAACTTGGCAGAACCAGCAAAAGAAACACAAAGCAAGACACACCATAATTACAATGCTGGAAACATAACCCTAAAAATGATGAAAAACATACCATTGGAGAAGATGCCAGGAAAGAGAAAATCTTTAAAACAATAAAGGGGAAAAAAATATATAACAGAATTTTATACCCCACAAAATTAATTGCCTAAACAGAAGCTTTTTCAGAGAGAAAGCATAGAAAAAGAATTATTGAAAGAGACCATTAAAAATACATGAAAAAAAGTTCTGCAGGCAGATTTTAAGATGAAAATATACATCAAGTCAGATTTGGCCCACCTTTAGTCTAAATATTCAAAAATTTAAAAAGCAAGATCCAATTACATGTTATATACAAAAAACTCACTTAAATATTAAGTACAGAAAGTCACTTCATAATGAAAATGAGGTCAACTTCCTTACAAACAAGAATTCTAGATTTGTATGCACTTTGAAAATTTCTCAAGTTCACCAAGCAAAAACTGATAAACTTGAAAAGAGAATCTAACAGAAAATTATAGCCAAACACCTCAGTGTTGGTCTCTCTCAACAATTCATAGAATAAGTGCACAAAAGTCAGAAAGGATGGAACAGACTTGAACACCATCAACCAACCTGACCCAAATGACATTTATAAATACCTCACCAAAGGAAATACATACTTTTAAAATACTTATGAAACACTTACCAAACCAGATTTTATGCTGAGTCAGAAGCTAGTCTCAATAAATTTAAGTAGACTAAAATGACTACCACAAATGGTCTCTAACCAAAGAAAAATTAATAATCTGTACTACAGTATCTGGAAACCCACTGAAGTTCTATAAACAATACACTTGTGAATAACCTGTGGGTCACAGAAGAAATCACAAAGAAACTATACCACACATACATACAGTCTCTCAAGAGGAGACAGAAGCATACTCAGCTGATACACAATTTTTAAAAGCTTCCCAAGCAAGCTAGTATCTAGTATCTAGATACCTTAAGTAACTCATTCTAACCTATGACAATCCTGGTCACAGAATTCATTCCCTGATTCTACTTACAGTTGCACAATCATGGAGCAAATTCTGTGACCAGAATTATGGAACAGAATTAAGTTCATGAACTGAGGTACCACTGTATTCAAAAGGGCAACAGAGGAGATTAAGAAACAGATGAAAATCCATGTGTGATAGTACAAGCCTGTGATCCCAGCACTCAGGAGACTGAGACAGAAGAAATAGTGAGTTCAAGACCAGCCCCAACTATATAGAGAAACCTTGCCTCAAAAAAAAAGCAAAAAGTGTCTGTGAAGTTCTATAATAAAAAATAAGTGAATTTACAGAAGACAATTGAGCTAAACAAAACAATGCAAAACATGAAACACTTCCAAGAAGAAACCCAGATTAAGAATTTTATTGAAAGTATGGGCTACAGAAGCAACAAATGTGAGAACAGTATCAGAACTGGAAGACAAGATTGCTCTCAGAGGGGCCAGCAAGACAGCTCAGTGTACTAAAGGGCCTGCTTAGGCAAGCTTAGGCAACTGTAGAGACCATGGTTTAATCCCCAGCACCAATGCCATACCAACCCCTCCCCCAGGGCGAGATAAGCCAACCAGAACCCAGGCATAGTGGCACATGCCTATAATCCCAGATCTGGGGAGGCAGAAAGCAGGAAGATCGCCACAAGTCCAAGCTGTGTAATGAGACCCTATAAAAACCAAATACATTAAAAAAAAAAAAAAAGATGGTTCTCAAACTAGTCATTCAGAGATACCTTACAAAAGGCAAGAGAACATGAAAAATGGATTCAATGACTACTAAATAATGTAGAAAAGACTAACTTAAGAATAACTAGAATTAGTGAAAAGAAGACAGCACAAATGGCATAAAAACCTCATTTAGAGAAATATGTAAAATATGTTCCAAATATAGTGAGACCCTGTACCAAATACATAAATGAAGGGGGAAAAAAAGAATAAAGATATGTACTTTAAAAAAACAGAAAGAAAGAAAATAAGCCAGGTACAGAGATGTATATCTATAGTCCCAGATATTTAGGAGGCTGAGGCAGATGGAAGAACATTTAAGCCTAGGAAGCTAGCCTGGTCAACACAGCAAGAGCTTACCTCAAAAGACAGAGACAGAGAGAGAGCAAAGAAAGGGAGGCAGGAGGTTGGTTAGCTGGGGTTACAAGTAGCAAATTTTGTTCTATATTCTGCTTCAATAGCAGGGGACTAATACACATCTGTGTTCTCTCAGATGTTCAAGTCTACATTATCTACAAATATCACTTAATCACACTATTCCAGATGAACTTGTATCTACCTTCAACCCACTCAGCAAAATATTCCATTTTCAATCTTGGCTTCAAATAAGTATCCTGCTTTCTTTCCACATGCATTACTTCCAAAAGTTGTCTTATTTTAGACTGTTCTTTAACAACTGACTCTAACCAAACACTTCTACTTTCAGGATCTCTCCTGTCCTTACACTTCCCAAGTGAAGTTTTGATCATGTTTTGTTATTTCAAATGTTTCCCTACTTGAATTTCACTTTTACTCATACACAGCAAAACTATCTGTGAAGCATTCAGGTGTCAGACTCTTCCCTGACTACAAGTAGAACAGTGGAGAGTGCAAGACACTGAGATTTTGGTCCCCACCACATTCAAATGGAGAGAGACAATCAACAAATAATATCAGGTAGTATAAATATAAATGCTCTAGAAAAACCAAAGAAAGTATGAGAGCAAAGAGTACAAGGGAAAAGGCAGCATGTTACAAAGAACAAATCCCACAGGAGCATATCTATACAGAGACCTATAATGGACTCTCTTCTGAAATTAACAGTATTTATCTACCTGAGAGCAAAGATTAACTCTGGCCATTGAAGAGAATCCTAGTAACTATCAATCTTTCAATATCTGTCTTTTTCTAAGTAAAACTCTGGTTGAACGTCTAAAATCTGCAGATTAAGAAATTGAGCTCTTGGGGCCAGTGAGATAGCTCAGGGGTCTAAAGTGTCTGCCTAAGCAAGTGCAGAGACCATGATTCAATCCCTCGCACAATATGCCACGCCAGCCCCACCCCCAGGGTGGGCTGAGCTGGCCACCAAAAAAAAAAGAGAGAGAGAGAAAGGAAGAAATTCAGCTCTTCCTAAATATTCTGAACCAAATTTTTTGCAAATTTTAAAAATTCAAAGCAAATACTGCCCTTATTTCTACAGTACAAATGAAACATGCACAGAATTACCAATGACTACAGAGACAGATAGCAATGCTTATTTAACATTTTGTGTGTGTGTGTGTGAGTGTGTGTGTGTAACTGGGGATTGAACTCAGACCCTCACGTGTGCCAGGGAAGTGCTTATTCTATGGAGCCATCTCCCAGGCCCCTTATTTAACATTTTTAAACGATTTGCCAATCATATATTATCAATGTTATATGGATAGAATTATAAAAAAAAAAAAAATCAAGTGTTTGAATATGACCTTCATTTTCAAACATCTGTACTACATAAGTTTATAAATCAATAGAAAAAAGAAAATCTATCATATCACAAATGCATGACCATTTACTATCAAATTATACTAGGACATTAAGTTACAGATTTCTTTTGCTATCTCAATAAATTCAAAACACTGCCCTCAAACATCAAAAACAAATACAGTATTTTTATCACTAATGACCATAAAAGTCTCCTAAGTGTGGTTTTAAAAATTTGAACAGCCTAAATATCTCATTCTCACAAAGGCATAAGTGCTAAAGATATTTTCACATATTAGGTATTAGCAACTCCCACTTTGAGAAATCTTAACCATTCTTTAAAAACTCTTCAAATCTCATTCCAAAGGTCCAAATTAGCATTTCTACCATCATTTCCTTAATTTCCTATCTATATCCTCTTACCTTTATTAACTCCTGGCAGCTGTCAAGTCCAATATTCACAAGAATGCTTTTCACCCTTTTCCGCACCTTTCTGATGTTGTCAAGATTTTCCACAGGCATTTGAAACATTTTTGAAATTTTCCTTAACAAGAAAGGAAAAACTTTAACATAAATAATACATACATGAAAATAATTTTTTTAAACATTAGGACAGTTTAACACACTTCTAGGAAAAAAATAGTCACGTGCAAAAGAATGAGGCTACACAGGATCCTTCCTTACACCATATGCCCAAAGTGGATCATACAACTACATGGAAGAGTAAAACTACAAAACTTATTTTTTTGAGCTAGGTATATTGGGGAACATAGTGGTAAATGAAAAATCAGAAAATTCAAGAATTTTCAAGAATTCACAGAAACATACTAATGTAACAAGAAAATTTAGGCATAAATATTAATGGATTTAGATTCAGCAACAGATTCTTAGATATGACATCAAGAAGAATCAGTAAAGAAAAACAATACGTTATTAGACTTTTATCAAAATTAAGAATATTAAAAACAAAATTAAGAACATTAATCTTCTAAGGTCGCTATTACAAGAGCAAAACTTCCACAAAATGGGGAAAAGTATTTTCAAATTATATTCCTGATAAACTTATATCTGGAATATATAAGAAAATCTTAAGACATTTTTTAAATAACCCAACTTCAAGATAAAGAATCTAGAAACTTTTTCCAAGTAGAAACAGATGGCCATGAAGCACATTAAAGATGTTCATCATCACTAATTACTCTGAGGAATGGATAAATTTCACATTATATAAATTATATCTCAAGAAAGCTATTTTTAATATATCTAAAAAGGAATTAAGCAAATTATATGGTACTTGGCCAGATTAGAAGACACTGACATGATGGAACACAAAAATACAGAATATAAAAATCACCAGAGGTGGTGATACATGATCGTAATATCAGCATTCTGGAAGGCTAAGGCAGGAAGACAGCAAATTAGATCCCAGCCTGGGCAACTTAAGGATTTAAGAGGCTTAGAAGATCCTGTTCCAAAATAAACTTTTAAAAGGGATAGGCAAATGAAGATGTGTGTAGCTCAGTATGAGGTCTTGGGTTCAATTCCTAGTACCACCACCACCATCACCAAAAAAAAAGTAACATTAAGAAGTATGTGTAAGCAAGGTGTGGTGGCGTCACCCTAGCATTTGGGAAGCTGAGGCAGGAGGATCATAACAAGTTCTATAGGCTTGGTACTTGTTGGAAAGTAACAAATAAATACACTTTTTTAGGGGGAATGAAGATATTCTTACATTAGAACATGGGGAGTGTTGCACAACTCTGTAAATTTACTTTTAAAAAAATCAGTAAATTTCACACTTCTAAAAATACATCATGGGGGGCCAGGGAGATGGCTCAATGGAATAAGCACTTGCCTGTAAACACAAGGGCCTGAGTTCAATCCCTGGTTTCGCAAAAAAATAAAATAAAATAAAAATAAAAATACATCATGGGCCTGAGGATGTAGCTCAAGTGGTGGAATGCTTGCCTCTTATGCTTGAGCTCCTAAGTTCAAGCCACAGCATCACCAAACACAAACAAAAAAAAAATATACCTTTTAGAGGAAGAACTAAGGAGCTGTACAGATTGGAGGAAAATAAAAATAACTGAACAGTAAAATTAAAGATTTTTAAACAATATAGTATAACAACAATAACACAGCATGCAATTTTTAAAAAATGTATCAGTTATTTAATTAGGTTCTTAGTAAAAAAAAATTAGAACATTAATTTATGAGGATAAATTCCATTTGTCAGAGCAAAAACGGATCACAGGTAGCCCCAGAGCTGAGGAACACCTTTGATTTTTGCTAAAATCTGTGAGTCCACCGCTTTCTGATCCACCTTGTGCTGCTCTGAAATCTGGTAACTCTCTTTCTTGGTGTCAAAGATCTCGCCCTCCTGGTGTCTGGGCTTCTGCAGCTTCTTCTTCTTGAAGTAAGCATCAGTGAGGTGTTTGGGGATTTTCACTTTGCTGATACCAATTTTTGTAGAGGTGGCAATGACAAATTTCTGGTGTGTTCTTCGTAGAGGAACACAATTAAGACTAAGAGGCCCAGTCACAAGAAGCAAGCCACTGTCCAACTGTTTCAGGAAGACCACTCTCTTGCCTCTGTGACACCCGGTGCGGATGATCAAGATGGTGCCAGGAGTGATGCTAGCTCAAAGTTTCCTCACATGCTGACTGAAGGGTTTCTTGCCATGGCTCAAGAGTTTTCAGGGTACATCTTCAGCAGGGTAGTACCTAGGCATTTTTCGAAGCTTAACCATCCTGCTACCTCCATTCGTGTTCCCACTGACCAGTTTTGTGACCACAGCAAAAACTTTCTCCTTTTTCTTCTCAACCTTTGATTTAGCAGCTGTGTACTTTCGCTTGTAGAAAGCCTTTCTGGAATACATGGCAGATCGGGAGTATTTACCAATTCCTCTAATCAGGACAGGATTTCGGCTGCAGTGGGGCTGTCCCTTGTTGGAATTTTTTGCCTTCTTCACCTTACCCTTTTCACCAGTACCACTAGCAGAAGCCTTCTGGGCTTCGGGTTTCTTCTCTTTAGTGTCTGGCTTCTCAGTTTTTTCACCGGCCATCTTGGAAGATGGGAAAGAGCAAATTTTTTTGTTGTGTGTTGTTTTGTTTTGGCGGTACCAGGGATTGAACTCAGGACCTCGCGCTTGCCAGGCAAGCACTTATTCCACTGAGCTATCTTTCAGGCCAGCATGCAATTCTAAACTAAATCATTTTCCTACAAATGACACTTTAGAAAGACTCACAGCCAGGTGGGTGATAAATGCCTATTGCAAGTATAAGCCCAGCCTTGGCAATTTAGCAATTAACTGTCTCAAAATAAAAAAGAGCTGGGGATGAAACTCAGTACAAAGGCCCTGGGTTCAATCCTCAATACAGGAAGAAGGCAGACAGAGAAAAGAAGAGATAGGATAAAAAAGGAAGGGAGAAAGAAAAAGAAGGAAATAAAGTGAGAGAAAGAATAGACAAAATTTCAAAAGGGTCTAAAATTAATTGGTGACAAGTGGGTGTGGTGGCTCAAGCCTGTAATCCCAGCACTCAGGAGGCAGAGGCAGGAGGATCATTGTTAGGGAGACCAGCCTGAGCTACAAAATGAGCTCAAGACCAGTCTGAACTGCACAGTGAGATCCTGTCTCAAAAAGACTAATATTAAATACAATAAATTGGCATACTGATCTTCTGATTCTGATGGCTTTGTTTCAGATATATAGGAGAATGTTTTTGTCTATAAAAAAGTAACATTTTGAATAATGTGAACCTTGTTTGGCAACTTATTCTCCAATGATTCAGGGATAAAAAGTTCTTTGTACCAAATCATCCAAAAAACTGCAACTATCTCAAAAAAATTTCTTACCTTGTATAAATTATAAAAACAAAAAAAGTCTGCCTCAATGGGTGTTGTGGCACATGCCTCTATCCCAGCACTTGGGAGGCTGAGGGGAAATGATAACTGCAAGTCTGAGGCCAGCCTGGGCTACACAGTGTGCTCAAGACCAGCCTGAACTACATGAAAGACCTTGTCACAAAAAAAGTAAATAAATTTTAAAATAAAAACTAAAAAGAAAATCCACTAGTCAAACTCTAGTGATAAACATTTTTAATTTCCTTAATAATTAAAACAATAGGGGCCGGGGAGATGGCTCAGTAGAATAAGTGCTTGCCTGGCAAGTGTGAGGGCCTGAGTTCAATTCTCGATTCCGGAAAAAAAAAAAAAAAAAGAAAGAAAAAGAAAGAAAACAATAATATAAAACAGTTAAGTGTCAAATTTTTACAAATAATTTTCAAAATTATTTTCTTGATTGATAAACAGGAATAAATAAAAAATTCACAACTTCTGAACATTTAAAAAGACAATCTGGCAGAATCTCCCAAACTTTAGAAAATAGGAAGTCATAAATTACCTCCCTACTACTTGAAGCTCCTACGCAAGAAAAGACTGTGGCCATATGTTATTGTCCCCACTACCACCACCACCAGCACCAATACACCCTCTTCACTGTTTTTGTTTTGCATACCAGGGTTCCAACTCAGGACCTTGTGCTTCCCTTCCCCTACTGGACTACACTCCTTAAGCTAAGAATCATACTATGTACAAAGCAAATGTTCACTAAATGAATGAGATACAAAATAAAATAGGGTCAGAACTACAGATGTGTAAAATATACAATGGAGATTCAAAAGAGGGAAAGGCTGTATTTAAAGTTGGGGCCCAACACATTCCATGCAAAAGAGGTGAAGGAGGGAATATCTGAATATATTATTTAGCAAACCTTAAGTAAAAATCAAAGAGGTAGACTGGAATTAAATAAGAGGGGAAGCAGAGAAGATTAACATAGGAGAGATGTATTTTTGAATGAGAACAGTTCTGAGTCGGTCTAGAGTAGATTTTCTTTTCAGACAAGTAAACCTAGGTGGAAAGTGTATCACAGAACTCTGAGGAGGATCATTAACATTACAAAAGTCAGGATACAAAAGTCAAAAGAAATGAAGTAAAACCCAATAAATTTAAAAATAATATGCACTAATCTGGGTTCCAGCCTTCCCAAAGTTAACACTCTAAAAGAAGAGCCTCATGATCATGACTCTCACACAATCTGTTTCAAAAAAGCTTGCAAAAGGTCACTTTAGAACTCAAACTGGCTGCTCTGGCCAAAACAAGGTATAAAAAAGTTTGGTAAGATGTCTACTCACTCTACCATTCTTGCTTCTACTTCCTCCTGGGTGCACTCTGAGAAATAAGAGTGTGACTCTCACAGTGATTCTCGCACACAGGAGTTAACAGAAATGATGTATCAAAAATCCAGCAAGTTTCAAACAGATTCTATAATTAACTAGTTCACAGCTTGGAACTCGGGCTAAGGAACTAACTGTCCATCTTTACTCATCTTCCATCTTTCTTCAACTTTGATTCCCAAATGTAATATCCCCCATTTCCTTATCATTGTTATTACACCAAAAATAAGCACGGATATCCCTTTTCGTTAAAAAGGGGTGTATCTCTTTTTTAGCAGTTCAGTATCTGCTTTGGGAAAACACTGTGACACAAGATTCACAATCTCCAAGAATACTTTCATGACGACGCACACATGCACCCTTATTCTTGCTAATCGCTTTGTTTTGAGCCACTCCTAAAATACAAGATTCCTTACAAAATGCCCACTGGACTGACTAGAAAAGAAATGGTGCGCTGTTTTCACTGCATATGTGCTCAGTAAGACCTGTATTTCACCACTATGAAATAACTGCAAATGCAGCTAGCTGCAGCTCCCTGCTTCAGCTCATGGTAGCAACTGAACTACCACAAAATTCCAATAATGTATACAAAAAACTCCGAAAAGGTATTCAAAGAGTTTCTTGTTGTTGTTGTTGTTTTGGTATCCCAATAATGTAAGGATACTTCATTATGCAAAATACTCTAAAAATATAAGTCATTCAGAATATAACTTTCTAAGACACAATTTTAAGTTTTAAAACAATTCTGAGATACAACAGCACAACAGTCCCAGCACAGGTTCTGGAACTACCTTAGCAAAATCGGTCCATAACTTCTTAGCTCTGTAATCTTAGGCAAATAACTGTTTCATCTGAATTTCAATTTTCTCATCTGTAAAATCAAGAGTGTAAGCTACTTCATGGCTAGCTGTGAGAATTAAAGAGTTAACACAAGTTAGCACTTCATAGCACTTCAAAGTGTTATACCAAAAAACTAATACCAAAAAAACTAAACGTAGTATCCTAATTATTAGAATATTGGGATTCCTTTTAAAGCAATTTTTAACACAGAATATCCGAGCCATATAGGGAAGCAAATTTCAGAAGGTCTAGGTTCAAATCACCAGATCTCTTCCTAGTCATGTCACCTTCAGCTACCTGCATTTTCCTATGCACCACACTGTGTGTAGTGTAAAGTCCAAATGCTAGAGATTTACCTCCTCAAAGTGTTTAACAATCATACTTCAAATTTTACTTAAATTTAAAAGGTATACCAAAATTTTCACGATCTCTTCAGCTACAATTCTTTCCATAACTCTGCCATCATCCACCATAAACAAAGATTACCAAAATGTCTTCATCCAGTCCTCACCTTCCTCCCATCTCTCAACCAGAAGGACCTTCTGTCCTCCTTAACCCTTCCTGCTCATTCTTTCTAAACAAAGATCTACTGAGTCTACATAAGGACCACTGGCTCACTGCTATATTCAGAGATACCATCTCTACCCAAATAGTAATAAAAACCTAGTAATGTTGCCAGCTCTCTACTAGTATCTCATACTTAACCTAACCTCCAAGTCAAGCTGAGTACATCCTCTTCACAACTATTTTTTATACGTTACCCTTTCTTACTAGACTTGAAGCCACCGTGGATGAACCACTGTCACTCAACAGCTCTCGCATCACTGCCAACCTATGCTGTGCTCATAGTGCACGCTTCCCAGGCTCCCACAAACAGCTGTTTCCTCACCAACTACACAGGCAGCAACCGCCTATTCTATTTACATATAACGAGTCTTAATAGCACTCTGTAAATCTTCCACTGTTATTCAAAGAAGATATTTAAAATAATGCTTAAAATAATTACGTATTGCTCTGAAGCCATCGAATATTCAGTTTCAATATTTGCTGTCCCTAGGCCAAATGTGTGTAGAAATTTCCTAAGTGGCATACATTGTAGTCAGCTATGGCGGATGCAAACTTAAATTTCAAAGACAGGCTGTGTTGATCATCAACCTTCGACACTCATTTCAATATCCAGGATTAAAGGACAGAGATTTGCCCTCAGTTGTTCTTCAAACGGATCTTTCCTTCAATTCTACCTGCATCCCCCTCAATACCCCCGCAGGCCCTTACCCCGGGGACCAGAGAACCCCGCCCCCCGCCGAGGAAGCATTTGCTTCAGGACCGCCCGGATCCCGCGAGGGTACCGCCCGCTGTGCCGGTCTCCCCTTCCCTCGCCCTCCCGCTCGAGATCTCTCAAGCGCGTCCTCTCCCAACCATCCCATCTCCTTCTCTGGCCTCGTTCCTCTGTTCTCCAGGGCCCCTCAGCCCAGTCCCCTTTTCACACACTCTCCTGACCCCGCCCCTCCCCCTCCCCCCGGGACGGCCCCACTCCCACGTGACCGCCGGGCGGGGCAGGCGGGCAAGGGCCTCAAGCAGAGCTCTAGGAACATCCCGGATTCCGGAGTCGCCACCCCAGGGCGGCCGGCGGGAAGGACGGCGGGGTGGGCGCGGAGCGGGCAGAGGTAGAGAAGGCGGGGCGCACTGCAGAGTGAACATCCAGGCGGGGCTGGCCGCGGCGCGGACCACAGGACTATAGGGAGGTGTCGCTGCAAGAGCCAGGCCAAGCCATACGTACCGCTGGGCGCGAGGAGCGCCGCGTCCCGCCGCCGCTCGCAGCGCCGCCGCGTCGTCCGCTCTGCGAGGCGGGACCCCCGCCCCGCACCCCGCGCCCCGTCCCCGTCCCTCCTCCCGCGCGCCTGAAAGGGAAGATGGCGCTCAGCTAGCTCAGGAAGTGACGTCCCCTCATTTACATGCCGACACAGCCAGCCAATGAGCGAAGTGTGTGCTTAGGGGCCCCCAGGCGCTTCCCACGGCCCCTCTGGGGCCATAGGCCACGCCCCCCAGGCTCGAGGCCTTTATAGGGGGTGGAGCCTACTGGAGCCCCCCTCCCCTCCTGCCTGTTTAACCTGTTACCTGGGGGGGGGGTAGGCTGATGACGTCATTAAAGGGGTGGGGATAATGCGTCATCCATCACGTGCCTAATCACATGTGTTCACCAACCTACTTCATTTGCATAGAATGGGGTGGAGCTAGTGGCAGTTCCTCTAGTATGTGGCTCCGCCCACACTTCAGAACCAATAGAAAGCCAACTCAGAGAATATGGCTTTCCTATTGGAGAACAGGATTTAGGCTCTCAGAATTCAGACTAGCGTGTGCCTGATTAACACACCTTAATGAACCAATGGTGGTTCATCTTTTCAATAAGAAAATTAATGTCATACCTCTTCTAGAGATTTCTGATTTTTTAAGTAACACCTATTACACACATTATATACCACGGCAGTTGGTGAATGTATTTGCATATACTCTTAAATGACCTAGAAGTTTGCTTTTGCCAAATTTTTTAAAAGTTGTGTAGTAGTAGCTTTCAAAGTGATTGGAGCCCAACTCATTGGATCATCATGCCACACTCATGGACTGCCCCTCCCATGTGGATGAGGCTTGAGAGTGATGTAGATGAGAAATGGACCTCAGTAAACCTGAGATTTGATGAGAGGGCAAATTGAAACACCAACATTTGAATTGCTCTCTGGTCCCTTTTATCAGGCCCCTGTCCTATCCTGACCCCCTTAATAGCTATTCCATGTACATCTGTCTACACCAGCAGTCAGCCTCATGTTGGCTCAAAAGACTATCCAAACCAATGCTTGGACCTACCCACTCCACAACCACTTTATGTATCATCCGTGCCCCTAAATTGCAGCTTTTGTTTCTGCGATGCTGTCTTCTCAGGATATCCTCAAGACTAGAAATGTATTTCTTTACTTTGTGTTAAATGTTGAGCTGATATTACTTGACAAAAAATTTGCTTTAATTCCCTACAGGAAAACAAATCACAATTGAAGGAGAGCTTACTCTATTTGCTTGTAAACTATAATTTAATTTGATTATGAATTACAGAGTGAGAATGATGTCTCTCTATACATCATCTTTGGGAAATTATGAGTGGGATGTAAAGTATAGTTAAAGCCCTTCTGTCCCCCCTCCATGCAGACCAAGATGCTCTCAAATAACTCTCTCATTTCTTTCCATTTCTAGAAAGAACAACAGTCTCTGTGCTCAGCTCCTAACCTTACCTTCATTTCTCTCCTCAACCTCACCTCTTCCTCTCCCACCACCACCACTCTGCAGAAACTCCTTGGCCATCAGTGATCTCCCAGTTGCTAAACCCTAAAACAGATTTTATTACTCATTCCTCTGGGCACATCTTTCCACCTAGTACTTCCCCTTTTCTAAAACTTTCTCCCTTAACTCCACGAACGTGCCCTTTAATCTTCTCTAGACTCTGTCATTGTTCCCACACCTTCCTCACACATTCTGCAAGGCAGGTATTCTGTTCTGCCTGCTTTCCTTTATCATTCAGTGTATGTGCACTGCCCACTTGCTGTTACCAGACATACTGTCAGGTACTGGAGATCCCCTGCCCTTCTTTTTTATTCTGCATGTTGTCGTTTATTAATCTCAACCACAAATTCAAACTTCATTCTTTTAATTCCAAACCAATACCTCTTTCAGATAAGACTGGGTGGGTTTAATTATACTACTCATCTCACCCATAATTCCAACCCAACATCTCTTTTCAAAGTTCTGGCTGCCGTGCTTCAGTGTCTCACAGGCATGTTGGATTTAGAAGGTTCCAATCAGAGCCCATCATATCCTCCTCACAACCTCTCTCACATAACCTGTATGTTTTCCTATATTTCATTTTTCCCACTTTTTTTAATCTTTTTGATACAAGGTCTTGCCATTCAGTTTAGACTGACCTTGCACTCACTTCATAACCCAGGCTGGTCTCAAATTCACAATGATCCTCCTGCCTCAGCCTCCCCAGTGCTGAAATTACAGGGGTGCGCCACCATGCCCAGCCCTTCTTTCCCCACTTTTGACTCTCCAAATCTGATCCTTCACCTTCAGCCTCACTACTACTGTGTATTCCAGTTAGCTGTGCAACCCAGGTACTTCCCCCAGTCAGCCATCTTAGTAAGCCATCACAAAGCAGTTTGATCATGTCATGCCTTTCTCTATTTTAACCATTCCCAACCCGGCTATTTAGTTTCCTGCACCTGGGACACGATACCCAGTACCCAGTTTGAAGAAGAAGTTTATCTGACTCACAGTTTTAAAAGTTTCCATCTAAGTTCACTTGCCTCTAAATTAAAAACATGGCAGAAAGGGGACACAGAGATCTTTAGTTCATAGTGATCAGAAGCAGAGCAGGGGCAGTGCCTGCCAGAAAGGGCCAAAGAAGCAGATACAGATCTCATGGTCCTGCCTCTATGATCGCAGATACACTCAGAATTGTTATTTACTAATCCTTAAGTGGTTCTCAACTCAATCAAGCTGATAATCCACTTTGGCTGTCACATCACCACTTGGTCAGCATGGTGGAAAATGTTTCTTGCTCGCCAGTTCCCATCCATGGTTCCTGCAAACACTACACAGCACTTGCTCGTGGAAGGTCTGCCCCACTACTGGAGGTTACTTCTATTCCAATGCCACTCAAGAATGAATTATGCTGGCCTCTCTTTCTGGAAAATCTTTCTGACCAACACACACACACACACACACACACACACACACACACACACCACAATGTGATAGTATTTTTTCTAGTATAAAGAGGAAAGGAGGAAAAAAAGACACCACTTTGAGTGATCCACAAACAGAAAATTAGAAGAATAATTACAGACATTTATGAAAAAACAAAACAGAAATTACAAGGGTCTGTGGCTAAGGTCTTGGGTGGAAGCATTCCACTGCATTAGCTTATTCCTAGGTCCTGGGTCAGTCACCCATTTCCTCAGCTGGGCTGTCTGTAAGACTCTCTGAAGTTTGAGGTTCCCTAAAGGGGAATATTCTAGTTGAGGAGAATTCTGAATTGCTTCTTTAGTTGTAAATCATGAGCCCAAATTGTGAAATGTAACTCTGAAGCTTCATTGTTTTTCTTGTTGTTAGCAGTAGATGGTAACGTCCTTTCCAGTGAAGTCATAGAGCAAAGTTATCAAATGTTTCTTCCAATAGACAAAATCTACAGGTTGAAGATCACAACAAGCCTGCATAGGAAGGTGCTATCCAAGGCAGACTTCACACTGATAATAGACCTTCATAAAACAGGAAACCTTGGAAATATTTTACCAGTCTGTGTGCAGCAGTCCAAAGTATAATATCACAGATGAGATCCTTAAATTCATAGTTTGTCCTATCACAAGTTGCCTCAGTCGATTTAAGCTGTTGTAACAAAATAGCATACACTGAATGGCTTATGAAAAACAGAAATTTATTTCTCACAGTCTAAAGAATGGAATTCCAAGATAAAAACATTAGCAGATGTGATTTTGAGTTAGAATTCACTTCATAATAGCCATCTAGTCCCTGAAACCCTACATAGCATAGGAGAAAGGGATCTCCCTCAGGCGTTTCTTCTCACGGCACTAACTTCATCCATCTGGGCTCCAACTTCACAATCTAATCACTTCCCAAAGGTTTCACTCTTAATTCCATCACATTATGAGTTTAGCACTTTGACATGAATTTTGAGAAGACACATTCAGTTCATAGTGCTGGTTCATAGGAGGACGGGGATCTCCTCGAGTGAGAGAACTTTGCATATGTGTGAGCTGCATAGGAGTAATTTTCATTGAAGAGGTTCAAGGGCATCTGAAATTTTTCTATTTTTTAACTTAGAGATGTTGTTGCTTCTTCAAGAGTTCTAGAATTTGTAGGTGGTAAAAACAGCATGGGTTTTGAGCAAATATATCTTGAGTTCTTTTACAACAATTATATAAATTGAGTTATTGATCATTTGATATAAAGGTTGGTGTGTAAAGGACTATAGGTGTTGTTCAAGGAAACCCATCCTGAAAACACACACTAAAACATATTTAAATAACATGGAGGGGGGCTGGCAAGATAGCTCAGTGGACTAAGCTCTTGCTTTGGCCAGCATAGGGACTAGGGTTCAATACCCCATCCTAGCAATGGCTGTGACTCATCCACATGGCTGACACTGACAAAGGATCTACAATCTGAGGTACAGGATCTCAGGATAAATCCTGAGGGGATTTCACGGACCTTATCAGACCCAAAAGCTACAACTCTTGTTGCATAGGTCCTGCTTTATCTTGGTCTTAACCATCCAGCAGAAAAGTATAAAAACGAAATATAAGAAGTAAAGCCATGCTGTTATGTTGAGCTGTAGGGGACTCAGTTCAACAATTTCTGACATTGCCAGTCAAGTGAAAGCCCCAATACTATTATGGACTACTGGACTCTTTTAGAATATTTTGCTGAGTTTACACACCTATAATATTTAAATGATGGAACTTAACAAAAAAAAGGGGGATACAGATGAATGTCCATTTTGTATCTGTGTATTCGAAGTGGTTAGGATAGATATATAGTTACATTCTCTTAATGAATAGAATGATTTGTTCTAATGGTGTTTGTAAATAGGATATTATGTCCACATCTTGTACAGCAATTAACCACTAGGAAGAATGTATGCAATGTGTTAATTATTGAAACTGTCCTACCAATTTGGTTTGAAACTGTCTCATTGCTATTTGTTTATCAATAAAATTATGGAAAAATAAAATTTAAAAAAATTTTAAAAAACAATACAAACAAAAAACCCAAAAGATTGTTTATTTTGACTTGTTCTGTTTTCCTGATTTGACAATTTTCCACTATAAATTTCCCTCTTAAGACAGCTTTCATTGTATCCCACAGATTCTTATAAGTTGTATTTGTATTTTCCTTAGATTGTAAATATTGTATAATTTCTTGTTTAATTTCATCTGTGACCCATTGATGTTTCAAGAAGATATTATTTAGTTTCCATATGTCGCTTAACAAGTATCTAGAGTCTCTAGCTGTAGCTGGCTGCCAGGCGTACGCGCTCCCGAGTCTTCAGAACCCGCGGCCGCCATCTACAGCGCTTAGGTTTCTCCTAGGCTTATCTGCACCACTTGCTCACCACACACTCCGCCACTGTAAACCGCCATCATGGTAAAGCTCTCAAAGGCTGGTAAAAATCAAGGTGACCTGAAGAAAATGGCACCTCCCCCAAAGGAGGTAGAAGAAAGTGATGATGAGGAAATGTCAGACGATGAAGAAGACGACAGCAGTGGAGAAGAGGTTGTCATCCCTCAGAAAAAAAATAAGAAAGCTGTTATGACTCCAGCAAAAAAAGTAATGGTTTCTCCAACCAAAAAGGTGGCAATTGCCACACCTGCCAAGAAGGCAGTTGTCGCCCCAGGGAAGAAAGCAGTGGCCACTCCTGCCAAGAAGACAGTGACTCCCGCCAAGGCAGTTGCAGTGTCTGGCAAGAAGGGAGCTGTACCAGGTAAAGCTGTTGTCGCTGCCCCAGGTAAAAAGGGCACTGCTGCCACAGCCAAGGGGGCAAAGAATGGCAAAAATGCCAAGAAGGAAGACAGTGATGAGGATGAGGAAGATAACAGTGAGGAGGAAGATGAGGATGAAGAGGATGAGGATGAAGAGGATGAGGATGAAGAGGATGAGGATGAAGATGAAGAATTTGAGCCAAAAGTAATGAAAGCAGTGGCTGCAGCCCCCGCCTCAGAGGATGAAGATGAGGAGGACGAGGAGGATGAGGAGGACGAGGAGGATGAGGAGGACGAGGAAGATGAGGAGGACGACTCTGAGGAAGAAGCCATGGAAACAACACCGGCCAAAGGGAAAAAAGCACCTGCAAAAGCTGCCCCTGTCAAAGCCGAGAGTGTGGCTGAGGAGGAGGAGGACGAGGATGAGGATGAAGACGATGAGGATGAAGATGATGATGAGGAGGAGGAGGACGAAGATGAGGATGACGAGGAGGAGGAGGAAGAGCCTGTCAAAGAAGCACCTGGCAAACGAAAGAAGGAAATGGCAAAACAGAAGGCAGCTCCTGAAGCCAAGAAATCAAGAACGGAAGGCACAGAACCCACTACAGCGTTCAATCTCTTCGTTGGAAATCTGAATTCTAACAAATCTGCTCCTGAACTAAAAACTGGTATTAGTGAAGCTTTTGCTAAAAATGATCTCACTACTGTGGATGTCAGAATTGGTACAAATCGGGAGTTTGGCTATGTAGACTTTGAATCTGCTGAAGACCTGGAAAAGGCCTTGGAACTCACCGGTTTAAAAGTCTTTGGCAGTGAAATTAAATTAGAGAAGCTCAAAGGAAAAGACAGCAAGAAAGATAGAGATACAAGAACACTTTTGGCCAAAAATCTCCCTTACAAAGTCACTCAGGGTGAATTAAAAGAAGTGTTTGAAGATGCCGTAGAGGTCAGACTAGTCAGCAAGGATGGGAAGAGCAAAGGGATTGCTTATATTGAATTTAAGACAGAAGCTGATGCAGAAAAACTTTTGAAGAAAAGCAGGGAACAGAGATAGATGGGAGATCTGTTTCCCTCTACTACACTGGGGAGAAAGGTCAAAATCAAGACTACAGAGGTGGCAAGAACAGCACCTGGAGTGGCGAATCCAAAACTCTGTATTTAAGCAACCTTTCGTACAGTGCAACAGAAGAAACTCTTCAGGAAGTATTTGAGAAGGCAACTTTGATCAAAGTGCCCCAGAACCAAAATGGCAAATCTAAAGGGTACGCCTTCATAGAATTTGCTTCATTTGAAGATGCGAAAGAAGCTTTGAACTCTTGCAATAAAAGGGAAATTGAGGGCAGAACGATCAGACTGGAGCTGCAAGGACCTAGGGGGTCACCTAATGCAAGAAGCCAGCCATCTAAAACCTTGTTCGTCAAGGGTTTGTCTGAGGAAACAACTGAAGAGACCTTAAAGGAATCATTTGATGGCTCCATTGGAGCAAGGATTGTCACCGACCGGGAAACTGGCTCCTCCAAGGGATTTGGTTTTGTGGACTTCAATACTGAGGAAGATGCCAAGGCTGCCAAAGAGGCCATGGAAGATGGTGAAATTGATGGAAACAAAGTCACCTTGGACTGGGCCAAACCTAAGGGCAAAGGGGGCTTTGGGGGCCGTGGAGGTGGCCGAGGCGGCTTCAGGGGCTGGGGTGGCGGCAGAGGTGGCCGAGGTGGATTCAGAGGCAGAGGTCGGGGAGGCTTTGGAGGGCGAGGTGACTTCCGAGGAGGACAGGGAGGAGGTAGAGACCACAAGCCACAAGGAAAGAAGACGAAGTTTGAATAGTCCCTTCTGTCCCTGTCTATACCTGTTTGTTGGAAAGAAAGGACTCTGGGGTTTTACTCTGTTACCTGTCAATGACAGAGCCTTCTGAGGGCATTCCAGGTGGTGTGCATCCTGTGGTCTGCTTGGGAGTGTAGTGATCACACTTCAGGAGAGGTGTACTTGACATACCCTGTTGGTTTTGACTGGAGATTCATAAACTTTTTAAAAGAGATGAGTGATAAGAGCTAACCCTGATCTGTAAGTTTTGAATTTATATTGTTTCATCCCATGTACAAAACCATTTTTTTCCTACAAATAGTTTGTTTTGTGTGTGTTGGGGGCTGTAAGGAAAGCAGAATGTTTTAAGATTTTTTTTTCGAGGGATTTTAGGACACATTACAAGTCCTAAGCTCTGGTGCCAGGCTTATTAAAAAAATGTTTCTGTCAAAAAAAAAGTATCTAATAACCCCCTCTTTCTCTTCTGATCAATCTTAGTTTGTTTACTTTTCTAATACAATAGCTATCCCAGATTTTTCTGAGTTTCACTTTCATGAAGTACTTCCATCCTTTGACTTTCAGTCTATCAGTTTCTTTTTTGAATTAAATGTGTATTTTATAAGCAGTATTTGAGAAATCTTATTCTTGATTCATCCCACTAACTTGCTTCTTTTGATTGATAAATTGAGACTATTCACATGAATGGTTAGGACTGATCAGTATTGAATTGTCCTTGTCATTATACTACATTCTTGCTGTTGATTTTCCCTTTGATTTAATTTCTTGCCTTCTCTGGGGGATTCATTATATTGGGATTCTTGGAATGGTCTTCATAGTCTTTTTCTACAGTATCCTTCATAACTCTTTGAAGTACTGGATTGGTTGTCATAACTTTGTTCAGTAACAATGGTATAAACTTCTCTGACAAATCTAAACAAAAAAAGGGGATGCAAATGAAAGACCACTTTGTGTCTGTATATTCAAAATAGTTAGGATAAATATACAGCTACATTCTCTTAATTTAATGAATAGAAAGATTTGTTCTAATAGTGTTTGTGGACAGGATATCAAGTCTGCATCTTGTGCAAAGAATAAACCTAAGACAACAATATGCAATGTATTAATTGTTGAAACTGTCCTACTAATCAGTATTGAAACTGTCTCATTGCTATTTGTTTCTCAATAAAATTATTTTTTTAAATAATAAATAAATAAATTCAGGATTTCTTTATCATTGAACTATCATGCATCTACCAATTTTGAAAAAGAGTTTTTAGGGCACAACAATCTGGGTATGATGGAATTTTCTTTTAGGGCTCGAAATACTTTACTCCAAGCTTTGCTTGACTTTAAGGTTTGTGTTGAAAAGTTGATTTTATGTTGATTCTCATAGGTTTTCCTTTATAGATGGTTTTGTTTATTTTCTCTAAAAGCTTTTAACAGTCTGCTTTTGTATTGAATTTCTGGAAGCTGGACATTGAATTTCATATAACTTGCTGTAAATATTTTATTATTGTAACTAATTGGAGTTCTGTATGCCTCACTTATATGTTATATGTCAAATTCTTTTTCCATTCTTGGGAAGTTCTCTGTTTTTAACTCTATGACTAGGATTTTTTAGAAATATCTTTTGTCGGAACATGCCAGACCAAGCCCAGGCACAGTGCCGGTCACACCCTCTTCCATCCCCTTGGGACCCAGCACCACCATGCTGCAGCATGCACCCAACCTGCCCTAGTGAGAATTTCTGCCATATTCTGGAGAACCCCAGATCCAGTCTTAGTTCAGGCCTGGTGAGTGTACAGGAAGGCTTCAAGCTACCCTGCACCAGCAGGACCTACCAGTCCCAGCACAGGCACAGTGGGATGAGACCCTCTTCCACTCCATTGGGACCCCACCATCACCCTGAAGCACCCCCCAACCCACCCACCAGGTGAGAATTTCTGCAGCTTTCAGGGGAACCCCACAGATCCAGTACTAGCCCAGTCCAGGTGAGTGTGGGGGAGAGCTGCCTCTCCCCTACTCCACCTTGTCCCCTCAGATTCACATAAGACCTGGCATACAGGCCTGAAGTGAAACCCTGAAGCTGCAATCCCTGCACAAAGAGTATGGGACAGAACCACCCAGCTATTCCAGGAGTAGAACATCTTGCCAGAGGGGCACAACAGGTCCATCCCCAAGGGCAGCACCAGGAAGGAGCTGAGCACAGCAGTCAGACCCAAGCCAGGAACAGCTGGATAAATCCAAACTTTGTAGATTGGCACCTGAACTTCAGTAGGTGCTAAGGTTATAACTGCAACAAAGATCTACAACAAAGATCAGAAGACAGTGCTACACAAAATGACAATGACAAGAAGCAAAATGCAATCTCAGAACCCAAGCTCACCCAAAACAAGTGCAGAGGACACTAACACAGAACAAACTAGGAATCACACAGCTGAAATCAATGAATCAACGGCTTCTGAAATAAAGAAGCAGCTGCAGAAAGGTATAGAGGAATTCAGATTGGAAATGAAAAAAAGAAATCCCTGAATTAATAACATCTGCAGTAAAGAATCAAATGCAGAAACATATGGAGGAAACCCAGTGCCCACCCAGAACAAGTGCAGAGGACACTAGCACAGCTTAAATGTATGAAATAATAGCGTCAATAGTAAATAAGCGAGACCCAGTCCTAGCTCAAGTCCGGTGAGTGTGTGGGAGAGCTTCCAGCTACCCTATGCTGGCGGGACGAGTCCCAGCGAAGGTGCAGCGTGGGCCAGACCATCTCCCCGCCTTAGGACACCACCCACCATTCTGCAGCACCTCCCCCACCCCGCCCGCCCAGTAGGAATTTCTGCCACATTCAGGGAACCCCCAGAAACAGTCCTAGCCCAGGTCGACTGAGTGTGTGGGAGAGCTTCCTTCTACCCTGCGCAGGCGGGATCAGTCATAGCCCAGGCGCAGCGGGGGCCAGACCCTCTCCCACCTACTTGGGATGCCCCCCACCACTACGCAGCACCTCCCCTACCCCACCCACCGAGTAGCAATTTCTGCCCTGTTCCGGGAACCCCCAGACCCAGTCCTAGCCCACACACAGTGAGTGTGAGGGAAAGCTACCTCTCCCCGCTACCCCAACTTGCCCCCTCCAGGCACAGCTCAGGCCTGGCATACATGCCTGGGGTGTAACCTTGCAGCTGCAATCACTGCAGAGAGTGTAGAGGATAGATTCACCCAGCTAGTCCAGGAGCAGAACACCTTGGCACAAGGGCACAACAGGTTCACCCTCAAGGGCAGCAGCGGGAAGGAGCTGAGCACAGCAGCCAGACCCAAGCCAGGCACAGCTCGATAAGTCCCAACTTTGGAGAGCTGCACCTGAACTTCAGTACGTGCGAAGGTTATAAGTATAACAAAGATCTACAACAAAGGACAGAAGACCGTACTACACAAAATGATGTGAAGTAACAAATTGCAACCTCAGAACCCAAGCCCACCCATAACAAGTGCAGAGGACACTAACATAGAAAAAATTGGAAATCACACAGCTAAAAGCAATGAATCAATGGCTTCTGAAATAAAGAAACAGCTGCAGAAAGGTATAGAGGGCCTCAGATTGGAAATAAAAAAAGAAATCCCTGAATTAATAATATCTGCACTAAAGAATCAAATGCAGAAACATAGGGAGGAAACCAAGTGCCCATACAGAACAAGTGCAGAAGACACAAGCTCGGCTCAAATGCATTAATTAAGAGCGTCGATAGTAAATAAGCAACAGCAGAAAGATATAGAGGAAATCAGAGCTCAATTCTTTTCTGAAATAAAAAAAAGAACTCTCAGAACACATAGTAACTGAAATAAAGAAGCAACTACAGAAAAATAGGGAGGAGGGGCTGGTGAGATGTCTCAGTGGTCTAAAGCACCTATTTAGAACAAGCTTAGCAAAGCACAGGGACCGTGGTTCAATCCCCCAGCACCACATGCCACCCAGCCCCGCCCCCTGGTGGGCTGAGATGGCCACACACAAACACAAATAAATAAAATTAAAGAAAAAAACTAGAAAAAAAGAAACATAGGGAGGAAACCCAATCTGAAAAAAACACTGCAGTAAAAGAACTTATAACTGCTTCTAAAGAAGATATTGATAAAAAAAAAA